AAATCTGATCCATGGATATTCGAGACGATGCATTCCCATTTTGATTGATTGCGGTTTTCGTTCAGCTCGTTTTCCTTGAAGACTGATGTGGTTGTGGTGTTTTGATGGATGACTCCGTCTCGTACCCAGGCCACAAAGGGTTCTGGGTAACCAAATACAGGACACGTCAAAGCGGTTGGGAGTCCCTGAACCACGGTGGGGCCTGGCTGATCAATATCTATGATGGCTGAAAAAACAACCAAGCATGAAATCAATTTATAAATTAAAACTGAATGGACAATAACAAAATGAAGCGTGCAATATTTATCAAGTTCATACTATAAACTAATTGCGATTTTGAGACCGCAATAGCACGAAATATTGACGACTAGTTGGGAGAAAATATGTGTCGAATTGGGCGGAGTCGAGAAGCCCAAAATCGTCAATATTTTGTGGTATTGCCGTCTCAAAATCGCAGTTAGTTTTGTATCGCGATTCTAATATTTTTCAATTAAATGAGCATAAAGGAACAAAATAAAATAAAATTAAGGAAAAAGCCAGAGAAGTGATAATGATTTTCTTCAGATTCTCACTACCTGACAGTCGTCTCTCTAGCAAAGGTTTCTGGAAAATGCTCGTCGTTTTTGAAAACTTTGTATGTTTTCTTTGTTTTCATCAAAATTCCACTTTCATTATGATAAAATGATATAAGTTTTGAGATAATTTTATTGCTTGCACTGTTTGTTTTTATTTTTATACTTAATTCTTTATATCCTAATGCTTTGTAAATTTGCACGCCAAGTGTTCGCTCAAGCAAGATTTACATTTTCGAGAATACAAAACCGAAGTAAGCTTAAGCTTATTCGAAAAAAAGTGGTTATTATAATTTCTTTTAAAAATGTTCTGCGCTCAAATTTATCAGCTTTTCCGAAGGAAACGGCCGAGTTATAAATTGGGCCTCGTTTTTTGCGTTAAGTCACAAATCGCCGACGCGTTCAGAGCGCATGCGTTGATTCTATGTAGTGCGCATGCGTGGTAGTATGCGCCGTATTTTCGCCGTCAATCAAACGCTATGAACCAATCGCGCGCGGTAATTCTGATACGACAATTATATGTAAGACCATATCATGATGATATTATCAGTATGATATTTTATAGCTAGTCATGGAATACCTTTGCTCTCGGAATAAACTTCAACTTCACAGASTGTCAGTATTCCCATGTGAATCAGCCTGATGTTGACATAGCGGCCAGTCTTTCTCGGTTTACAGTAGAAGGACTTTTTGTTGAGAGTTTCCATGGTATAAATGCCTCCACATCTGTCTCCACCTGTTCAATAAAACGTTACAATACTACCTTGTTATCATCATTTCGATAATCTTTGAGGTAGTGTGAGATTGAGCAGCACGGGTCCAGCAAACGAAAATATATTTGGTGAGGGTAAAATTCCTAAAATACACAACACCTTAGTATAAGTATAAGTTTGTTTAGATTACTACCGAGCTAATGAGGTTGAGATGAGTCATGGCCATCCTTTCCCACTCATCATTTGGAGGAACTCTATATATTTCCAAAACATTGTTCTTCGCCAATCTTCACCCAGCCCTCTCTCAGTTGGCCCACTGCATTCATAACTTGARATACCCAACCCTCTCCCCCACCGTCTTAAGGGGAAGTCAGTTGGGGTCCTTAAGCTTGTATATAGTTTTACTAGTTTTACCCTTAAATTTTGCTCCGTCATGGCAGTTTTTAAAATTATATCAACTTACCCACTCGTATATCAATGTTTTTCAGTCGTTCTTTTCCTGCATCAGCTCTGTTCACCATAAATATTTCAGACACAGGTTTAATAGAGCCAAGGTCCACGCGCCACCACGGATTGTTCTCATTTGCTGTGTGCGTACAAGAGTTCCCGCCAAAGTCTCCATTTGAATTACCATCAACTGCTCTGTTTGGTGTCCCTCCCCCTTCAGTGGAGGATTGTGAAGTAGGTCTTTGAAGGGCAATATTTTCTATACAAAAAATTAAATGATTATAGGCAAGGCAAGGCAAGGCAAGGCAAGGCAAGGCAAGGCAAGGCAAGCGCTAAACTAAGCTGAACTAAAACACAAACATATGCACTTATATGCAAGCGTTTTCTTTTTGTATCAGGGCCCAGTTGTACGAGGGGTGGATAGCGCTTTCATGGATAAATCCTTCTCCAGTGTAGAAATCGAAGCTGTTATCCAATACATTTATTCTCTAGATAGGATTTATCCGTCGGACAGCGCTATTTCGCATATTATCGCACATTCTTACAACCGGGCCAGGCTAATGGGAATACGAGGGAGCTTTGCTTACCGGTAGGATTGCGGTTGACCATTACTTCACATAAAGTTAATTCCTTGCTGGCCCCCGGTAGGTGAACACTGACATACCTCCCTCTTAAACCAGGTGAACATTTAAACGCTGACTTTAACTGACCGGAAAAGGATGGAATGTCTG